AGGAGCTTGGTATTTGCTATTAATTGGGGGCATTTTTTATTCACAATATGCGTTTGAGCTTTGTATGTCAAGTGCCTATCACAAAATCACAGCAGTTATTCGTTGTCATAGTTGGAAGCGGAAGCGTGAATTGTGCGCGGTCATGGTCTGGTCGGCTCTACGGACGTGCAGTTTACGCTTGTTGAGGTGATTCGTTGTTGTTTAGGTATTCATGTTTCCATAGGCCGAGATGGGAGGTGAGTGGAGTGAGGGTTGCCGTGGCGGCGGGTTGGAGATACTGAATTGCCGTCCTTCAGGTGTGTCCGACTTTGGGCCTTCGGATGGTGGTTTTGTTCGTTGGAATCGCTGCTTGAACTTTTTCCTTTCGAAGAACTTCGCCTGTAAGATGGAGTGTGAGTTCATTTTTCGTCTTACAGCCCATTTGTCACTACAAATCTACTGGGGCTGATTACTTGACTTACCTTCCAAAGGATTATGATAAGTATGGCGAGAAGTAAGAGACCTGCGAAAACGGCCAGACCAATATAAAGTGGCATATTCTTCGGGTAGACGGGTTCGGGCTCCATGTCGTTGAATATTTTTAGCTCAATCTGAATGGAGTTGGTGGTGAAAGTAAATTGACACTGCACTGAGGCATAACATTTGCTACTGAGCATGCTGGCGGGGTGATAGTGGGAGAGGGAGGAGGATGGGAGATGGGAATGTATAGAGGGGGCTAATAGCTAGCGTTTCATGTGCCAATTTTGGTTAAGGACATCCAAAGGGCAGGCGAGCAGCATACCTGGGCGGATTTCACTACACTCGGTAAATATGTGTGGGAATCCACCCACTCACCAAAGAACTACACAAAATACAGTCAAGCGGGCGGCAGGCAAGGCAACATCAAATTTACCGTTATTGAATAATTGGCGCGAAGGGTGTACAACAAATCAATTTGAAATGTTGATTAATTTTGTCGAGGTGGAGATTAGGTGGGTTTCGCGCATTGTCTACTCCTTACTGAAAATAATGGGTTAACTCACATTGTCGGAGGTATGGTCTTTGTCGCCTGCATCTATCGTGAAAGTAACGCTGGCTCTCCAAGTCGCCGTCAGTTGTACCGAGGTCATGAAGATATCTTTGAAATCCTACCAATGGGTCGGTTTCTGCGACAGTCATGTCTTGGCACTTACTTGGCGCATTGTGTTGTCCCATAGCCGTGCGGGCATCTCAATGGTTATCATACCTGTTCTGTACGACAGCGGACCGAGGTCACATACAATCGGTACACAGCGTAATTGACCGTTATAGCAGCTCTGAAAAGCATTAATGTGCGCATTGACTGTATCCAGAGGTGGTATCTTACCAGAGTTGTGCTGACTCGTCTCACGTTGCCCTGGTCGGGCATTTGTTTTATTTCCAGGTTGGGTTTAAGTGGGGGGTATTCTACAGGATGGCTTGATGGCGGGTCAACTGGGGCAGTGGTTACTGGATCGCCTCGGGGCTGAGGCACTAAAGACTTGAACACCTGTAAGGGATGGAGGGCACGTCAATTTCTAGTATAATTATCAACATTTTGAGCATATCAGTACAAGCCGATACCCGGTAGTTATAAGGATTCACAAGCCTATCCAGAGCTCTTGAGTCGCACACTACAGTCATGTTGGAGGCTGTTGGTAGGTCAGTTTTAGTTATGTAAGGCTTTTCAAGAAGGTAGAATAAGAGTTTCCCGTTCGGTTCAGTTATAATGTCGGCAGTTTCGTAAGGCCAGTCAATTACAAGCCGCGAATTCGGCACCAGACTGTGTTTCCGCAAATTTTGAACCTATAGATAAGAAACTGTTTAAAGGATGCTGCTAATGGGGCGGCAAGAATTTGGTTGAGTGATACATACCCGAACTCGAATAAGGAGGCGTGTCGATCCTATTTTATTTTCTCCGTTATTAATGAGAATTCCATCGGTCACGTTCCCTGAGTAGTAGGCAGCATCCGGCAGTATTTCACTGGAGTAATAAAATGAAATTGGATGTTGGGGTGAAAGATGTAAATTCGGCTGAATGTTAAAACTAACTCAATGTGCCTGTCTGAAGTCCACTTCATTCAATTTCTGCGATTGCTAGGCAGAATTGACATTGTGGTCAAATAAAAAAGAGGCCTACTAGATTTACGCACTATGGTTTTGCTGAATGAGGCACTCGAAAGTCTGAAGCACTGTTTGAAGCTTTGAGCGTTTAGCAAGGCAGAACGTACCCCGTAACTGAAACGTTGACCCTCATTTTTACTTTTACTGTGATGGAATCAGTGGCAGGTGCCAGCATATTTGGAGGAAACTTTGGGCTTCTAAAATATGAAATGAGATGCATTTATGGTGAATTGACCCACAGAAAGGTCGGTCACAAAAGCAGTGCCCATCTCTCTGAGACAAAACAAGCGTGACAGTTGGTATTCCCATTGTTATTAAAAAAACTGAAGCTGTGTGCATTTGCCGAGTGCTTTTGAATTATTCAACCAAAAGTCATTAACTGGTTGGAATTTTGAATAGATTTGTGGATTGTCAGCTCCTTTTGAAGGTGCAACGTTGGGGTTCAAATGCAGTGCGAAGCATGCAGATCACTTGTGGTGAGTGTCAGCACCCACAGCATCAGTCAAGTCGGTTGATACCCTTCATCATAAACCAGTATAAAGCTAAAGGTTACAATCACTGACTATGGGCGTTTCAGGGTTTATTTTCGAAAAACTAACTGATGGACAAGGAATAAACCGGCAGCGGCTATTAAGGTCGCTCATTGTCAAGACTGGGATCGTCCATTAGCTGTTAATGCTGCCCTTTTTCAAGTAGATGCTAAACTTTTTGGCTTTAAAAAGCACCGCATTAGGGTAAGTTGCGTGCGTTGGACAGTGCCACGGCCAACCGACTCGACGACAGGTGACACATCAGATGTGTACGTCATTTGCTATGGCGAAGTCAGAGTGACCAATCTTTTACTTTGAAGTAGTTGT